CAAAAAGCTTTCTTACTATCATATCTACAGTAATGTTGAAATGCACCTGTGCTGGACTGAACGAGAGTGACTACCAACAGGCATGATAATTTATAGCAAATGTACAAAGTTCACACTACTAACCTCACGATTTATTCGGCACAATAAACAAAAGTATGGCTGCAATGAAACATAAACATAAACCTGAAATAAAAATACATTTATGAAACAAAATTAAAATGTTTTATGTACATATATAAACACTAAACCCTAGTTAAAAATAATAATACTCATTTACTGTTTAGGTTTACTTAGAAATATTATTTTCGGGTCTTGTATATTACTTGAAACCATAAGGAGAGTACGTGATTATTAAAAAAAAATAAAAATGGATAAAATTTGCATTTTATGGACAATAAAAATTTTCTGGGATTTTAAAATAATGTACTGAAACATAAAAAGTAACAAGTTCAAATCTGGAACAAATATAAATATTGTAATCATTTCTTATAAATACCATTTCCTTATGTAATTTTCCAAGATATTAAAGATCATAATTAAAAAAAAACTAAATTTATCAAAAGGAACAGGCTTTATGTTTCTTAAACTACATGCATTTATGAAAGTTCTTATGAAGTTTCAAACAGTTTCATCCACTAGTTTTATTGTTCGAATGAAATATAGCAAGACTTGCATTGGCTACTTAGAAAGTTAGTAGCCAATAGTCATCAGGTTAAGAAGCCCAGACCATGATACCTTGCCTGTTGAAGATCAAAAAGGATGAAAACATTGTATAGGGAATCCTCATCATCCGTGCATATTCTGGAATTCCCAACTGTTGGTATATGTACCCCATCTCTGAAGCAAGGCATTCGTGAAAAGAATGAAACTCTGGACGAGGTGGCAGTAGAGGAACCCAATTTGTAGTAGTGTCCTGACTTAACCCCTCAAGATCAAAGAATGATCCCAGCTAAGGAAACCAGGAAATAAAGGTGTATGATCCTTCGTCCAATAAAAGATCGCTTGTGTTCTCATCCCAAAGAATTTGAGTGATGCCCACATTCCCAGAAGATAAAGAACCATCCATGCAGTGGGAGAAGGAAAGGTGAGTAAGAGTGTGGCGTTCTATTCTATAGTATTGGGAGAAAGCTGAGCCCTGAGAGAGATGAAATGAAAAAAAAAATACCCAGACTGATGATGTATTGAATTGGAGCTAAAATGGATGTCGCAGTCCCGAAAGTGAAGCTTGTCTGGGTTGTATCTGAAAGTAGAAGCAGGATGTGATGGTCTAACAATTGACAAGATGTTGCCAGCAGTAACCAGTCATCCATGGAATGGTGTGTGCACAGTACGATGGAAAGAAGGGGACAAGAAAACTTGTATGATACAGTAAAACCCATGTTAAGCCTATGTGAGACTGAAGGAAAAAAAACTGGAACTACAGTACCTGACCATTGTGCACCACAAATGCCAATAGTGGTGAGACTTCACCACTAAGGCAAAGTGCAAATAGGAGCTGACTACAATCAAGTTGGACATCTATAATCTCAGTAAAAAAATCAAAACAGATTGAGGAATGATTAACTTGTGAATCTTGGAAAATCTAGGCATTGATATAGACAAGAAAGATCGATGACTAGACAACAATCTCCTGTTTTCATAGGCCCAACAACTAACAGGAATAAAATCTCTGAAGAACTAGCCCGACTCTCTCATTACCCACAAGACCAACCAGACCCAGATAACCCTAGAACTAAGTTCAAAATCTACATGAACTGTGGGAGACAGAAACCCTACAGGTTGGGTGGATAATAGTGGGGAAGATGTGAACTGAATGACTAATTGTGACCCAAGGACCTGCAGAGCTTCTGGACCAATGGTTAAGATTACCACACATCCAGAAATTCTTGAAATTGAGCCCCCACAGCTTCAGAAGGTATACAATAATCACTGACACTGTTGGCAATCCAATTAAGCAGTGGAAACCTTGGATATAGACAGAATCTTTTCTCGGTACCAATGTATCAAAGAGCTGCTTTCGGGATCGGTACTCACGAATAAGGGCACAACTATAACCCCCCTGTAGGAGCCGATGAAATTTGAGACTCCAACAACTCTGAGAGGAATGTAGAAGCCAAAAATTGAACCAACGTTCAAATTGTAATACTGGGAAACACGTTAGTGATGCTTTGTCAAGAAAAAATGACAAAACTATCTGAATGAGGTGCTTATATACAGTACCATGATATAGGGGGCAGTGACGTAGGTGGAGAGTATCACAAGACAATTATTACCAAGGTTAATTGAGTGGGGTATAAAAAACTGGAGCAAGTGAGAAAAAAATTAGATTAATGCTTAGATAGGCAAAGAAGAAACCCTGGCAGTTGAGTAACAGCTAAAAGTGGCTATTAAGATAAGTATGTCTTGGAAGTGTACATTATTAAACTATATCTAAATATTAAACAAATGATGAAATCATTGTCTTTAAAACTATTAAGCTGTTTTGTTTTCCAGATAAATGTATTTTATAATGACTGTTTATTCTGTTGTTTCTGCTCTACAAAGGATATCTAAACCAAAATTTTACCTCTTATTTCATTTATAATTATGTATATTATACACAAAAGAAATAATTTAAAAATTTGATTAAGCAATTTAAAATTTTAAAAAAATCATGATGCAATAAAATAAATACAAAAAATGCAAACTGATGATCCTGGAGAAGTGATTTCCTTTTTAAACTGTCATCAGATTGTACCACTTGAATTTGTATATAGAGATTTCTAACTATTTGTTAAAAAATTTCAGAAACTTTAAATCCAAACAGTCTGATAATCAGTATTATAATCTTTAAATTTAGGAGATTACCTTCAAATTAGCACCATCAAAAGGAAGTGAGCCACTGACAAGTGTGTAGAGGATTACTCCAAGGCTCCACACATCTACTTCTGGGCCATCATACTTTTTTCCTAGAAAAAACACATATTAATTCTTTTCTGTAGTATTAAAATATTTTTTACTAGCCACATCAAATGACTTTGTAATTGCAGACATTGCAGCCCAGTCAGACTTACGAGATCCAGTATTTAACAAAATGCTTTAAGGAGAAATGCTTGTAATAAACTAAATGTAATTCAAATATTACATTTATAAATGAAGGAATTTCCTAGGAATAAGTACTACATGTATGAGACTTAATAATGTTTTTATGTAAGCCTTCCAAACCAATTAAACCAGATGTAGTCTATTATATCAAAGATGAACAGTAGGTATTGCTAGAATGGATATTCAGAAACCATTAAACTAATGACCTCTTTGTAAAAAGCATGGTCCTGTTCACCCCACAAAAATACTGGCTCTTTCAACAATATAAACCATGTTTAGCAGGCTGTAAAATCATACTCAGCAGTCAAAGCTTTTACTTTTTCTTAACTTGTTCATGAATTGTAATCTTAACTTGTTTTTTTTTTTTCAGTGCCAGAAAAACAAGACAGCATACAATAGTCAGAAAACAAGTTTATTCTTAAGAACATTCCTTATAAAGAGGATATATTTAGCCAAATATAGATTCCCTTTCACTACTTCAATTATTCAAAAGTTCTTCTGAGTCAGTCAGTTGTTTCTAACCAAGATACACATGCAATAAAAGACGTGTCCAGATTTACTTGTACAAATATTACATATATATTCATACTCATATACTTAAATTTATCTTAAATATATTATTTTATAACAGAAGTTTATAACTTTTAGTACAGGAGGTGGCTCGTATGAGTTTTGCAACATACCATTCAATCTGGTAATACACCTGTCACTTTTGAGAGGCTAATGAAGCTTACAACGAAGGAGTTGCAATGGGAAAAGTGCTTGATCTATATTGGTGATGTCTTAGCATTTGGCCCCATGTTGGAGTCTGCAACAGAGAATCTAAAAATGGTATTCCAGCAGATAAAGGAGGCACACTGGAAATTAAAATCCTGATAATGTACATTCACGTACACAGAAGTAAATTTCTTGGTCATATTGTAGGTATAGATGGAATCTTCACAAATCCTGCCAAGATAGTAGTGGTGCCAAATTTACCTCAGCCTGTGACCAAGCAAAAAGTCTGCAGTTTCCTAGGTTTTACTTTGTACTATCAAGGGTTTGTGGTCAACTTCTCCAAGATCACAACACCGTTATCAGCTCTCAATAAAGTTGAGGCAGGCTTTGGTTAGAGTGAGAAATGTGGGCAAGCATTTCAATCTTTGAAGCATGCTTTAGTAAAAGCCTCAGTGTTGATGTATTCCCAACAGGACTGTTGGATACCAATGCCAGTGTTAGTAAAATTGAAGAAGTGTTATTGCAGTTACAGGTTGTAGCAGAACATGTAATCACACATATACTAATTGCATGCTCACATCTCCTGAATAAATAACTGTTTGTAGTTGTAATATTCCACAAAACCCTCTTAACCCTCTCGTTACAGGCAGGTCAAAGTGCACTTACGACGACTTTTTAAAGTTATATTCAAAATTTAATTGAACTATTTTATTATCGTTGTATACAAATAAAATTGGCATCAAAATGTAGTTAATAATTCATATTTTAATATTATTCAAGTTCTTAATTTTATAAGGAAATATTTTTAAAAGTCCTCAGTCTCCCCTAGTATGAGAATTATATTTGCTCTTTAGGTCTTCCCTTTTCTCTAACTTATTTACTAACCCTCCATGAAGTATAGAATTTAATGTAAAATTACTCATTATAATATAGATATTTCTCAGGAAAAGCATAATTTTTATAGCCTTCAATCTTATTTGGTTAGAGAGCCATGAAATAGAAAATCACATCCACCTGTCAAATCCTCTCTTTCACAAATTGCCAATAGTTCTTTCTAATGTTTTATACTATATTACTTATAACTAATAGAAAACCAACATTTTAATCTATCAAATGACATATTACATTATGTTGTTTTCTGTACATGGCATTGTCTATTTTGTTGTTCATTTTCAAATTTTTTCTCACAGGAATTGCATTGACAAGCTTACCTGAATTTTAAAGGTTCTTATCGCAGTTAGAGAGCCAGATAGTTATAATAATTACAGGACATTGTTTGCTTTTTGCATATTATTATTCTGTCTTTAGGTGCATTATGTAATTGAATAAATAGTTTAGTAGTACCACTAATATATAAAAAGTAGGCTTAAGACCAAGAAGAAAAAAAAAGAAGACCCAGATAAGTACTAATTTTTAATTTTAAAATTTTAGCTACCTTTAACATAATAAACATAGAGTACACATATGAAACAGTATATTAGGTAATATGATGAAAAAAAAAGATAATAAAAATTCTTCATGAGATATACTCAAAAGCAACTTGTGCATTATGTAATTTGGTATGGTAATGTGAGCTGCACATTCACCAAATGATTTACAAGTTGTGTGGCGGGATTAATAGAAAGATACAGTTCAAAGGGCAATAAGACAATAAAATTAAGTATAAACAAATGTATACTGTTAGGAGCTTTAAGCTACTGAGGGCAAATAAACAATTGTAGTTTCATGTTACAATTTGCAGTCATTCTAGAAAGAAAAAAATTTAAAGTTTTACTGAAACAAATGTTTGATATTTATTTAGGAGGTTTCAGAGATTACACGAATGGAATTTCATGATATTCAGATGAAAAAATTATTTTTAATCTTAAGATGAAAATCACTTTGCACTTGGAGCAGTCAACCCTTTGACTCATATTCAGATAAATTTTTAGTAAAAAAAAAGTCTAAAAAAGACTCGTAATGCTTACTGAAAGCTTACAAAATTTCATGAAGACACACAAAACACATTAAAAGTTACAGTATTGAAACTCTAAACACCAATTTGGGGTCAAGATTTAAATCAAATCGACCAAGCCTATAGCGAGAGAGTATTTGCCTGTATCAGTGTGTGCTTGCAATTTTGTTGAAGTGTATTTTGATGTACATACTATTTCCTTTTCAAAAAATTTATATGTAATTCACTGTTAAAGGATTTTTGATTATGTATTTTGTTTTCTTTGTGAAGGGTTTGTGCCATCTGTGTTGCATTTAAGTATTTACATGGGCAAGGGAAAGCTATCGTATAATGGCTGGAGACGGCTTGAATGGGTAATGAAGAAAAACTTTAATATAACAGCAAATGTACAACGTTTCGACAAGGTTTTGTCATCATCAAAACCTTGTACATTTGCTGTTATATTAAAGTTTTTCTTCATTACCCATTCAAGCCGTCTCCAGCCATTACTAGTCTCAAAGTGGGTTCCTCGTCATCGAATTTGAAAGCTATCGTATATTTCTTTACCAGGGCACATAACGAGTTTACTGATTTTAAAATTAAAATTAATTGTTTACTTGAGGATAAACCTCAAGTAAGTGAGAGAGAGAGAGAGAAGAGAAGTGTGGTTTATGACTGTACATTTTTTACCTTCTTAACATTAATATAGTATTATTCTAAATTTATCGGGTATTCAGAGTATGTGCAGTTTTCACATAAGCTGTGGTCAAGAAAGTCATTAAGTTAGTTTTATTCTATCTTCCTTTGTCATTCTACTGAGGTCACACTTCTTCTGCCCATGGAACACATGGCTGTAATGCTGTGTGTTGTGCAGAATAGATAGCAATGTCCATAAATGATAGGTCAGGTGGTAATTTGAGGTTATGAACTCTCCTGTGCTTAAATAAGAATGATGACTCATTTTGAGAGTGCTAATAGCTCTGGGTAAACCCGATATTATCTTTGAAGTAAAGAATATTTAATTTCATCATTACACAATATTGCAGAAGTTAAATGAGAGAGAGATAACAGTTCATATTCAGTAAAAGTGGTGGTCTATCATTTAAGCAAGTAAATACACTTTTTGTGCTTTCTGTTATAATAAAAATTGTGCTTTTGTATTTTACATTATGTCCAGTTTTTTAATTTTTTTCTCACAAATTCAAATATTCACAGAAATTCAGTATTACTCTGTAACAGATATTGTGTTGCATCTCCAGTTATTCAATGGACATATCCCATTGCTCTTGGAATGATAGTGAGTTTTACCTGAAAATACCAGAGTTGTACACAACAATACACAAGCACAAATGGAATAACAAATTATTAAACTACTGACATTCCATTTCTAAACACACATGAAAAATTAGTTATTGAAGTGATAAAAGCACCTGCACAAAAATAATGTAATTCACAAACTGCCAAAATATTTGAGATATAAAGAGCTACCTTGAAACAATTCAGGAGCAGCATATGGAGGACTGCCACAAAATGTGTCAAGCTTCTGACCTGGAGAAAACTCATTACTAAAGCCAAAGTCTGCTATTTTTATATTCATTTCTGCATCAAGAAGCAGGTTTTCAGCCTAAAAAATATATAATTCTGTTCTCTAAGATTCTGAGACTAAGAATATTACAGTTTCTAATATTTTGTACACATTATAACTGAAATGAAATATAAAAATCTTAATGAAACTAATATGTACAGAAATGTAGCTCAAAGCTTTTAACTTAACCCTTTCAGCACAGGCAGACATGATTACCATCTGCTCAACTAAGGAAGCATATTTATGCAACAAAAATATGGTATCTCTGTGCATCCCTTACAAGACAGGTAAGATTTTTTTTAAGGTTTATAAGTATCTTGTACACAAAGAATGACAATATTTTCATTACATCTTTCTTATAAAAATGTTAATTATCTATAGTAGTTATTTGCACTCAAGCTGTGAATAGTTCAAGTACAAGGTGATTTTCATTTTAAATACAAAAATACTCTTCCTTAATTTATCTTACAGTTTATAGAAAACAGAAAGAAATACATACCTTTTAATTTCCTGTAGAATATCTTTAAATATTTTCCTTTTGTTAAATTTGTAATTTCAGGCCATCCTTTTCACATATAGTTATTTTTAATGTTATATTTTCCCTTCTCGTCCTTTACCATTTATTATTCATCAGGACACAAGTCCATGGCACCCTCAAAGCATATTGCAGTTTCTTTGGGAGACATGAACAACTCTTTGGCAAAATTTTTGTTCAGTGCATAATATCATAAGCCTTGAGAACAAATGCAAAGTATGATGTGTATATATAAATAGCATTTAAACCTTATAACTATGCATTTTAAAACATAACCAATACATTAATTAACTAAATATAGTAGTAAGACCTAAATACAATTTAAACTTTGTCTCTAGCTATAACACATTTAGGTAAGAAAGAACCGTAAGTGCTATAGTCGATCAAACAGCCAACCATACTATAGTGTACTTCATATACTCTGTGACAACAACTTGCTGCCAATTTCAAAATAACCATTGTTATATTATATTGTAAAATGAGCTCTTTCTAATGGTTATACACATGTGTATGTAACATCTACATGGAGGCTATAAAGCTGAAACAAATCCATTGAAGGTGGGTGTGAGAACTGTCAGGGGAGGAAAAAATTTATTACTTGTTCCAAATGTATTTATTCAAATAATTTTGAAATAAAAGAGTCAAAAGGTTATTTAAGCATCTTATTGTCTAGGCATACCAACTACTCAACTATCATTGTATTGCTGAAGATACAGAGACAAAGTAGAGAATTTTCATAGCTCGTTGGTCACGTGACAATACATCTGAAGTTTTAAGTAGCTTTTAAAGGTTTATTAAAATTTAGATAAAATAAAACTTCAAATCAAAACATATATTATAATATTAATTTTATCCACATTCATTGATAGTAAAGGTGTTTAATTAAATTTTGAAGGTAACACAGTGACTTGAGCAGAAAAGCATTTAACCCTTTGACCATGATCAACCTTTAAATCCCTTTCTGCACAAGTCATGAGATTTTACTGAGTTGAATTCAAAATTGAATTAAACCACTTTTTTATTTACGTAATTTAATGAAAGTACTATTATCAAGTATGTTATAATTAATGGTTTATATTATCTATGTTTTATTCCTTTACTTTAAAAAGAAAAATCTGAAACAGCAATTAAAACTGCAGTTTTTGTTGTCACATGATCCACTGTGGTTAAAATTCTCAAGTTTAAGAGGTATAGACTGATATAGACTGGCTGTCTCTCATTACCTGGGGGAAAACTTCCAAGAATTTCTTCCTGTGTGAAACAATATTCTAATATATCTAAGTTTAAAGTCAGCCATACCCACTTGCAAAGTCAAAGCTGTGTTGTTAAGTGACACTTTGACACTGAATGGCATGTTTAAAAACAAAAGAAAGAGCAGATTTTGCACTATTCAGTTACAGCCTGAATAAACCTCTACCTGTATAAGGATCTGTAGTATGAAATAGAAAATAAGCTTAGTCCATTGTTCTCTTGAGGAGTATGTAATGTTTGACAAGTGTTTCTTGCCTCATATGCATTAGTTTGCTAAACAGTTAGATTGCATTTAGGTTTTACATTTATATCTTAATTAATTATGTATTAATTGTGTTTTAAAATACATATTTGAAATGTTTATGATTTTTATATGTTTAACTTGTTGTAGTCTGGCTTACCAAAATGTCTAAGCAAGATGGCATCATTTGCATATGCGAGTGTAAATGTTTGGAATTTGTGCATAAGACTCACCCTATAATAACAATAGAGTACTGCGCGGGACATGTTGTCGATCTTGGGATAATGGTATGTACCTACTTCCATTTCTTAACTTTCAACATTTCATTGCACTGTACATTGATGATGACATCTGGAGTTAATGATATAATATGGAAACTGGAAAATAAAATAAAAACATTTACCTTAAAAACTTTTGATATTCATTTAGAAGGTTCTAGAGATTATGGAAATGAAATGTGAAAACTGTGAGATAAGAAATAGTATTTTTATATTCAAAATGAAAATCACATTGTATGTGAACTATTCAGAGTCCGAGTGCAAATAACTACATAAAATAATGAATGTTTTATTATATACAGTAGAAAAAATCTAAATTACATATTATATTTTTCTTAAATTACATAATCTTAGGACCTTTAAGTCATATTTAAAACTATTTCATCAACTAGTTTCATTTTTGTAAAGAACTCTCATGAGAGTCGCATACCTATTTATAATGTAAGTAGATCATAGACAAAGTGTTAAAGGGGCACCCGTTGCAAAAGGTTAGATTTGGTTTGATTTTTAGTGTACAAAAGACTTGTAATATTTACTAAAAGCTTGCCAGATTTCGTTAAGATACACTTAATATATTAAAAGTTAAGATTATACATACTTTCATGGTTACCTGATGGTTGCAAGGTCGGTCAAGATGATCAAGCCCATTTAGAGAGAGTTACATGTATGCATTTTGTATTCTATAAGTAAGTCATTGGTTTGACCACAATGATAATTTATATGAAAATATTGACATACTATGCCATTTTTAACATGCTATTTGTATAATTATTAACAAAATATAGAATAATAAACTGCTAAGTTTATTGTAGCATAAAATCTTTTTGTTTACTAGTTGCAAGCCCATACTTACTAGTTTGCACTCTTACATTTATCAGTCAATAATGCATGTTATTAATAGAATATCTATTGTATTCAAACTAACTGATTTGACTATCTGTATGTCTTAATAATGCAGAACAACTTCATTACCATTGTGTTCAGAATGATGAAGTTTCAGTGTATTTCTTTATTAAGTTAAAGAAAGGTGACTGTGGAAATGTGCTAATTGGTATGGCTACTAGGAGAAACTACTTACTTATGTCTAATATCATAAACAGCTTACAAAGAAATGAGATCCCAATACCTCATGTTAATGTATATTTCACATTATTACAAGATTTAAATAAAAGTATTATATCAACAGTGAATCATTTCTTTTATGAAAAATATAATACAATAAAATTTTTAATGCATATATCCAGATAAATTCAATGATAACAAATATGTAATATACCTACTTTTAAATCCCTGTGTATTATTCGTTTCTGGTGACAATACTGTACAGCTGAAATAATCTAGAAAGTTTAAAAGATAAAAGCTTAACATATTTTTGAGAAATAAAAGATAAACATCAACACAATACATAAAATAAATAGTTTAAAACTATCAAAATACTATTTTTGTGAAACACAGGTGTAAATAACTAAATATTATTTGACAGCCTATTTCCTAAAATAATTTTTAATGTCAAAGCTTCATAATTAGGTACATTTTTATTATTCCATTCCAAAACAATGAAGTAAAAAACAAACAATTATATTTGGAGTTTTTACCACTGTTCATAAATCTATGTGAAATATTTATTCAATAATAAAAGATTCAATAAAAGTGAAAAACACAACTGGAAGAAACAAAAAATTTTAATAGTTTGGGGGGGGGGGTACTTAACCATAAAATTCAAAATTGTGCCAAGCTAAGTTTCTGTCTTTGCAGTGCACTGTAAAAAACACTGAAATAGAAAAATGTCAATTTTACTTTTCTATGTTCCCATAGTATTGTTAAACACCCTAGAATACAGAACAGTGTCAAACTAAGTTTTTGTGTAATACTGTTAAACACCTAGGAATATAGAATTGTGCAAAGTTAACACTTTCCTTACCTGACAATGTATTTCAGATAGTTACTCAGCTCTCTGCACAACAAAGATCTATTACTTTATGCCACTGCCATAAAGATTTTTGCACATGCATTACATCTTGAATGAAGCTCCCACCCTTACATGTACTAACATGTACTGTGCCAGCCTATGATGTAATCATCATCTGATTATATCCCTCCACTAACAGGAATGCAACACATCCTCAATGCACAGCAATCCCCATGAGCACTAGCACGAGGCACAATAAGTACACTCAAAGTAGGAAGGAAGGGTGGGAGGTTGTGCAGAAAGGTAACCAACTGAAATACATTTTCAGTTAATTCTCTTTCTACAGGCTTGGTTGATTCAACCAAGTTCCTGACCCCAAATTGACCTTTAGAGTTTCTATACTATAACCTTTAATAACAAGCTTTCAGTTAACATTACAAGATTTTTTATCCACAAAAAATGAGAATTATTAATAGTGTTTTTACTAAAAATTTCTCTCAATATATAGAGTCAAAGCGTTGACTGCTCTGAGTGCAAAGTGATTTCCATGTTAAGATTAAAAGATCAGAAAATTGTCGAATTTATTTGCAAAATCTCTAAAACCTCCTATAAGTTATATTTTATCTGTTATTTTCTCTACCCTAACTCTATATGCATTCAGTTAAATTTCATTTGCAAAACCTAATATATGTTAAATAACTCTGATTTATTTTCCACCTCCTCTGAGAAGTAGAGGATTTAATGTAAATTATATTGTAGTTATGACTCAGGCAAAGTATAATTTTTATAGCCTTCAATCTTATTGGTTACAAAGCCAACAAACAGAAAATCAGACCCCTCTTTCCACACCCACCTATCACATCCTCTCGTTCAGAAATAGCCAATAGTTCTCTCTCACATTTAATACTATATTATTTATAACCAATAGAAAGCTAAGGTTTTGATCTATCAAGTTACATGTTATATTACTTTGTTTTCTGTACACAGAATTCTCAATTATGCTTTCAGTTCAAACTTTATTCCCACAGGAAACACATCGATGAGCTTAGATGAATCTGTAACAGCTCTTGTTGGATATTTAAAAAGCCAAAAAATTGTGGTTGTTAACCCGTTGACTACCGGCTACTAACTTTCTTAGTAGCCAATGCAAGTCTTGCTATTTGTCATTTCAAAAATAAAACTACTGGTTAAAAGTTTTAAAACTTTGTAATGACTTTAATAAATGTGTGTAGTTTAAGAAACATAAAGCCTGTTACTTTTGATGAGTTTAGTTTTTTTGCATTATGATCTATAATATCTTGGAAAATTACGTTAGGAAATTGTATTTATAAGAAATGATTACAATATTTATATTTGTTCCAGATTTGAACTGATTACTTTTATGTTTTAGTACATTATATTGCAAACCCCCAAAAAATTTATGTAGTCCATAAAGTGCAAATTTTATCAATTTTAATTTTTTAATAATCATAGACTTTCCTTATTGTTTCGGTAATATACAAGACCCAATAATAATATTTGTAAATAAACCTAAACAATAAATGA